ACATTGATTATCTTACTACAATATTTTTTAAAACTCAACATATACCTTCTTCGCAGCGGTAAATCATATGAAATACGAACATTAAACATACGTGCCTACATGTGTTGCACACAAGTGAGGAAACCGCTTTGAAAACTAAATTCAAAGAAATCGTACTGCGCAAAATAACTAAATATATTATATGTTTAAACATACATGTAAATACTTATAAATTATCTAAGATAAAAATAATGACATTTTAAACTAAAGGATTATATTTAAGTTAACATTCTTTATTTAAAAAAAAATAAAATAATATATTATAAAAAAATTTAGAAGAAATAATCTTATGTCAGAAAGAGAAAAAGAAAATTAAATAAATTATTTAGAAGAATTTCAATGTAATATTTCTATAAAAAGACAATTTGTTTAAAATATAATGTATAAAATAAATAAAATAGAGTAGAATAATCAACACTAAAATATATAGAAATGACTCTATTTATATAAATATTGGCAAAGAGCGCAGAAGTTAGAACGCAAAAATCTATATCCAATAATTTTATTATACAAATAGAATGCTTCATTTTTATCTCGAGTTATCTTCAGTAAATATAAATATGTATATGCATTAAAATTTACATAAAATTAGGACATTAATGTCAAAATGATATATTTAATTCAAATACTTTATGAAATTACGTAGAATTACGAGAATTGCATAAGTCGTTTCTTATGCATAACTTTATGAGATATTTCAGACTATATCTCATTTTAACATTAATGTCATAATTTAATGTGAATTTTGATATACATTTATTGAAGATGAAATGGGACCAAATCGTTCCATTTATATAATTAAACTATATCAAATATAGATTTTTACATCTCCCCTTTTTTATGCATTGACTCTCATTAACCCAACATGTGTTTTATAAAATAAAATAAAAAAAATATTATTTTATCTTTTTGTATAAATATATAAATAATTTTATGCAAAATATATGCAATTTTTATATAATTCACTTGAAAAAAAAAATTCATTTCAATAATAATACAGCACCAGATAATCCTGTATATAAATCAACTTTTTATATACATATAATAATTTTATACAATATGTTAGATAATTTATATTTTACTGTTTATAATTATTTTAAAATAACTTGTAATGCAATATATTATAGCAAGTCATTCTAGTTAAGATGATCTTTTGCTGCGGAGAAAAAACCGCTCGCGTGTGCGTAAAGCTTAATGGGAAAATTTAAAGAGCTGTTAAAGGAAGGAAAAATGAAAAGAGAGAAACAGTACATTTGACGTTCGGTGCAGAGACGAGAAACAGCCGAGAGCGGTAACTCGTAATACGTCCCGGCGATGCTTTTGACCGGCGCGTACACACGCATACACACGAGGTGTTATTTGCAGCCGTGTGGCACAACCATTCTGGTCCTCTCGAGTGATTGATCGTTTTCACCGTTATACATCTCTTTCCGTCTTTCATTTTCCATTTCAACGTTTCGTCCCTCCCTTCGACCCCACGTCGTAATTTCACCTCCTCGTTCGTCGGAGCTCTTACAATTATCCAATCTTGCCTCTCCTGCCACTCCTACGTACACGTTAATTAGACGACGCGATATTAATTATTTTCTATATTTTAACGCGTCAACGTGTGAACGTCAGAATTTGTACCATCGTAATTTCGTTATTAAAATGCAACAGTAGTTATAGTCTACGAAAGCAAAATTTTCACCGTTTAATTTCAACATTTCGTTAATCTCGATTTTAATTCAGCGTTAATTAAACGCGCGAGGCTGTTGGCGCGGCCAACCCTCCCCGCATAATTTTCCTCGATATTCTTCAACAGTTTCGCACACACATACATACCTGCCCGACTACTCTTATCGGACTTAAACTCGATTCCCACGCGCACGAACCGACCGCTATCTCGAACGGTTATTTCACCTTTTTTTCGCACAACTCGCAACTCGAGCAGAATATTTTCGGAAATAACACCACATTGCGACACATTGCATGTATCCAGCTGCTGCATTTTTTCTTGGCCCTAGGCACGATGGTGCGAACAAGCGACAAATGCCGAGATACACTATGGATATTCTATAGGTATTCCTGGTGCACGATCGTGACCCGACGAAAGCGTTATGCATTATGCACGAATCGCTCATAATCGACAATGTAACGAAATGATTTATAAGGTCGTTGTCTGTCGGCAACATCGCGAGCCTTTTTTCGAGAAAATACCCGAGCAAATATTATTGGCGAATATTATTTTAAGCGATTTGTTTAACGATCTTTTAACGATATGCATATTTAACACCGAATGTACGAAATTAACCGTTGTAATATATTTTATCTATATAAAGTATAAATTTCATTGTATGCGTTATATCCGCTTCGGAAAGCGGAATAAATGGATAATTCGCGATAATTTTAGTACGTTACATGACAATTTAATCATTTGTGCATCGCCGTTATACAAACAGAAAGAGCAATTTATCGCAATGATAATTCAGTCATGATTTAGCGCTCTGTACCGGAGACATATTTCAAAAAAGAACGATTATATATGTGAAAAAGATACACTGAGAAAAATCATTTGATTGTACCAACAAGACGTATATGATTGAAGGTATTTTGGTTAAATCAAACAAGAATTTCTAGTTATCATGATAAGACTCGATTTTTATAATTAGAACGTTTAATAGATTTTATTATAATGATTTGATTAGTATTTTCTGGTTGGATCTATTAAATTTCTTGTTACATTAATTTCTTCGCTTGCTTCTTAACTTAACTCGTATTCAATATTTGCCATGAAATGTATATAAAGAACTAGTATTAACATTAAATCCAAAGTATTTTTTTTTCTTACGAGCAGTAGTGCCAGAAAGAGGACGCTAGCTCTCTGATTGTGTTTGAGCTGCATCCTCTTCTTGCATCACTGTTTATCCGTTTAATTTCTAACAAACTGAACTTAAAATAATTTATTCAATAATCTGGATTGAATTTATCCAATAATCTTGTTGGAGTTCAGAATATTAAATAGACTTTTGAGATTAGATGGAAAAAATTTTAGACGACTTAGTGCTAGCCAGTTTAGTATTATTAACGAGAAAATTTGATAATGATTTAACAGGAAGAAATTAATCAGATTAATCTGGTAATTCCTACAACAATTCTGGTTCGTCCATTTTCCAACAGACATACTGGTTGAATCTACCAGAATTCTAATTAATGCAACCAGATTTTTTCTCAGGGCGCGAATTAAAAATTCAGAATTGATAAATTCAAATTTTTTAAATTTAAATTTGTTAGAAAAATAATTTATCACGATATGAAAAAAATTTTGTAAGAGACTAGCATTTAGAGATTAAAAAATAATTGCAAAATTTATGTCCTCAAAGTATTTTCATTGATAAATTTAAAGTACTCTATATTTTAAAATTAAGTATATTATTACATATACTATTAAGAATTCCTATAAATTAAATTCAATAAATTTTAAAATATTAAAGCGTGTGATAAATATTATTAAACTAATCATATATTGATTAATCATATATTAATTATTAACTAGAAAATTTAGTAAATTTAACAGGAAGAAATTAATCAGATTCACCTGATAATTCCTACAACAATTCTGGTTCGTCCATTTTCCAACAGACATACTGGTTGAATCTACCAGAATTCTAATTAATGCAACCAGATTTTTTTCTCGGTGTAGCTTTGAATAATATATATTTTGTCAAAGGTTTTTCAGAAAACGAGAGATACGTCTCGCACGCAGGACAAAAAGCAATCAGGTATTAAAGGGTTTGCATCACGTGGTAACGGTAACTTTACTGCATCGAAAAGAGAAAAAAAGAAGGGAGACAAGAGAGAAAGAGAGAGAGAGAGAGAGAGAGAGAGAGAGAGAACGCACGAGTATCCCCTGCGACTGAAAAAAAAATGTGGAGCGGAATAATTTAATTCGCCTCCATGTGATCGACCGTAAAGTCGTGCTTTAAAAATCGTCCTCCGTATTTTTATCGTTCCTCGTTTTGTAACGGCGGCCAAACATCGATCCAAAGCCAGTCTCCAAGGCTTCTTCACAGCCCCACAACAATCGCCAACACATCGTACATATCGTACACGCCATTATTTGTTAAAAATGTTATAGCATCATGCGGCTTTCGCACTTGTCGTGTGACTTTTACGTCATGCACAGCGTGCCAATGAATTAGATCAGATAAATGCAACAAACGTGCTCAGAAAATTTAATTAACATACACGTTCCAGCTATGTTGAAGGCTTAATTATACCGTAAAAAATGAATACTTTAGATTAAAAAGAACTAATGCACACGCGTGTTTCTAATAGTCTCTAATAATTGCTCAAGATCTCTCTCAATAAAATTAATTCTTTCTATCCGAGCTAACTAATTTCTAATTTCACTATTGTCTTAAAATATAATCAAATATAATAAAATAATTCATATATATATATATATATATATATATATTAAAATTATTTATATATTCATAATTTATTTAATATTTATCTCGTAATACACAAAGAAATAAAACTGCAACTCTGATTGGGCAGTGGTATATCAAATATTTGGACGCTGTTAGTTCGGAAATTAATAAATAACTAGTTAATTTAATTCAAGTGCGATGAGAGAAATGAATTAATAATACGGTATTTGCTAATCGACAAATTAAAACCGTACATTCTACCTCATTTGAAAATTTCACATATTGTTATGCGGAAACCTTTCCTCGCATGTGTTGAAAAATAAATAATATATCAATGTATCTCGCAATATCAGAAGGATACGAAACACATACGTCAAGTTCCTCTTACGAAAATATTATTTAATTGACGCCAGGAAATGTCAAATGCAATTGCGATATGAAAAAATATATTGGCATTTCGATTTTGCCCCGACATTTCTCTCATCAAGTTTGCGGCAAGCGATCACCAATTTGCAAAGCGGCAAAAAATCGAGATGATGTACTCACCTCCTCGTCAGACGGCGGCTCCTCGTAATCCGACAATGTATTTTTGAAGACGAAGATGCAGTCGGACGGATCGAGGTGACGTGCGTTACCGAATTGCGTTTGTCCATCGGCAGCCTGAGTCGGCGCGGTTGTCTCCACCATGTCGATAGATGTGTCCGTCAATGTGTCCGACACTGCTGTGCGCGTCCACTCGGTCTTGATAATCGCGTCAACACGATCGTTGACTTGTCGAGGCAACTCGGATGCACGTTTGTTACAGAAAGCTGCAAAGAGAAACGAAAAATTATTTAAAGGGAGAGTATTTCTCTCTTTTTCGAAATTTTTTTTCTCTCCATTTTCCAAATATTTTCAGTGACACTTTGTGGCTTAAGAGTGTTATTTTTTTTACTAGCAAATATTGACAAGCTGACAAGCGAGATTGTAACGACGGTAGTGTACGTTACTTCTATTAAGGATCAATACTTTTAAATAGGTAACGTTGAAGTTATTTGTAGGAAATATCCTTTATTCTTGTAAAAAATTTTGAATGAAAATCAATGTACAATTTCAATTTAAGCTTTACAAAGTCACTGAGAAAAATCGTTTGATTGTACCAACAAGACGTATATGATTGAAGGTATTTTGGTTAAATCAAAGAAATTTAAATCAAAGAATAAGATAAAAAACAAAAATTTCTAGTTATCATGATAAGACTCCATTTTTCATAACTAGAACGTTTCATAGATTTTACTATAGAGATTTGGTTAGTATTTTCTGGTTAGTATTTTCTGGTATTTTCTTGGATCTATCAAATTTCTTGTTACATTAATTTCTTTGCTTGCTTCTTAACTTAACTCGTATTCAATATTTGCCATAAAATGTATATAAAGAACTAGTATTAACATTAAATCCAAAATATATTTTTTTTCTTACGAGCAGTAGTGCCAGAAAGAGGACGCTAGCTCTCTGAGTGTGTTTGAGCTACATCCTCTTCTTGCATCACTGTTTATCAGTTTAATTTCTAACAAACTAAATTTAAAATAATTTATTCAATAATCTGGATTGAATTTATGTAATAATCGTGTTGGAATTCAGAATATTAAACAGACTTTTGAGATTAGATGGAAAAAGTTTTAAACGACTTGGTGCTGGCGAGTTTAGTATTATTAACCAGAAAATTTAGTAAATTTAACAGGAAGAAATTAATCTGATTCATCTGGTAATTCCTACAAGAATTTTGGTTCGTTCATTATCCAACAGACATACTGGTTGAATCTACCAGAATTCTAATTAATGCACAGAAAAAAAGGACATTCTTGTTTTGAAAATATTTTTAGTTTTAACATGGAAATCTTGAAATGAGATTATATTGCGTTAATTAAAGAAAAATATAATTGTTTGAATAAGTGATTACTTGAATGAAGCCATGTTATATAGTTCAATCAAGAAAAATATATTCTTATGATTTAAGACTTAATTTTCTTGAATGGAAAACAAACATTGTTGGATAGAAAATAACATTTTTAAATCACAGATTATAATTTTCTTAAAGTAGAATTAAATAATTATATATTCTTAAAGTGACAATTACAATATTAAAATAAGACTATAATATTGCTAAAATTCAAAATTATTAAATCCTAAGAAGATTATAGATTGAAAAAAACAATGTTGGAAAGAAAATAACACTTTTAAATCAAAGATTATAATTTTCTTAAAGTAGAATTAAATAATTATATACTCTTGAGGTAACAATTGCAATATTAAAATAAGACTATAATATTGTTGAAATTTAAAATTATTAAATTCTCCTAAGAAAATTACAAATTATTAGCATATATACGAAACAATAAACGCGTTAGTTTAAGTGTATAAATTTCGATTTTAATACTTTTTTTTTCTGTGTGCAACCAGATTTTTTTCCTAGTGTGAAAATTCCTACAACGCGTTAGAAACGGAAAGGGAAATGAAGAAGGACGAGTTGAGAATGGGATGGTGAAAAACGTTATCGCGATATAACAGACGCGAATGTTTTAAAACGCCGAATATACGTTGGCGTGTACAAGGTACGGGATTCGTCATCCTTGTTATACCGCCCCGGAATGCCTTTACATCATGAATATGCATCACGTCCGTGCACCACGCGATACATCACAAATATATANAAATATATTAGTTGAATCTACAGAATTCTAATTAATGCAACCAGATTTTTTTCTCAGTGTAGTATTACATTAAATCCAAAGTATACTTTTTTTCTTTTACGAACAATAGTGCCAGAAGAGATCGCTAGCTCTCTGATTGTGTGTGTTTGAGCATCCTCTTCTTGCATCACTGTTTATCAATTTAATTTCTAACAAACTGAATTAAAAATAATTTATTCAATAATTTGGATTGAAATTATCCAATAATCTTGTTGGAATTCAGAATATTAAACAGACTTTTGAGATTAGATGGAAAAAATTTTAGACGACTTGGTGCTGGCGAGTTTAGTATTATTAACGAAAATTTTGGTAAATTTAACAGGAAGAAATTAATCAGATTCATCTGGTAATTCCTACAAGAATTTTGGTTCGTCTATTTTCCAACAAATATACTAGTTGAATCTACCAGAATTCTAATTAATATAACAGACTTTTTTCTCAGTGTGTATAATCGTAATCTGCACAATAGAATACTTAAAATTTAATTAATTCGCAATTAACCGTCTGAATTAAAATCACTCAGATTGCAATAAATTTTTGTCTTCAATTTATGACGATAAAAAATGACGCGAACGTAAACAATGAAACTTTTTTAAGTCGTACGTCCTATGTAAAATTGTCAAGGGAGAAGCAGGTCACAACAAATTGCATAAGTTTGTCACAATGTTTGTGTACAAGTTATTATAACTGCAAATAAAGTGGATAATTGGAATATTCTTCTCAAACAAATATAAGAGCGGAATATACGAGCGGAAATATAACATTAGTGAAAAGCTTTGGGAAACTGCTTTTAAATGAGCAGCTGTCGTCTCGTTGGAAACTCGGAGAAAAAAAAAATACGGATTAACTCGTTGATTTTTTACAACTATCGCAGCATAACGATCTCTCTTCCTACGCCTATGCATTTTACGTAAAGCCGAGCTTTTTCACTGGAAGCCCGGTGTAGTCAAACCGGAGAAAACGCCTCGCATTTACGCTCTTTTAAGCTTTCACAGGTCCGAAAGCCAGCCGAGGGGTCAAAGAACTCTAATGCGACTCGCATTAAGCGACGTACTAAAAGACGCGTCTACCTAGCATCTTTGCAATCTTGTTAAAGTTTTCGTTGCCGCCGATGTAAATGTAACTGCAAATTATACCAAGCAAAGAGAAACAAATTGTTTAGATCAAATTAATTCTTTCAAATTAATTCTTTTCTTTTGATTTTCTTTTCTCAAATGTCAAAAGTGACAGCTGATTATATCCCTGAAAACAATGGCCGATTATTGCTCGGATGCAATACACTGGTCAACACTCAAATTTTTTCCTGACATTTAACATATATTATAGGCTATTTATTTTATTTTATTTTATTATTTATTTTATTATTTATTTTATTATTTATTTTATTATTATACCTAAGGCACTGATTACGAAAAAAAATACTAGTTCAGTTGTATCAGCTCTACTTTTTTTATTTATAAGATATTACAATTATATCGATATTTTTGAAAAGATGTATTCGCCACAAATATAACAAAAACTATCTGGATTATGTGAACAACATCTCCGAGTCGAAGACATATCGAAAGTTAAAAAAATAATAATTTTGAGTCGAGTAAAACTCAACTCAAAAAACTGCACGTGATGTCTAAAGGGGGTGGTCTAAAAATATTAAAAAACAAGAGCTGTTTAAAAAAAAAACCTGTACTCGTACTCGAAATCAGCACACTTAAATAAGCCCAAAAAATTATTTTTTTTGTTGACCAGTGATATCAACGTCGCGGAACGACAACGTTCTCTTACAAGTCCCACGATGCACCGTATGCTGCAAGAAAGAGCCGCAGTTAGGTACACGGCTGTCATCTTTTCCCCTCCCACCGAGAACCTTTAAAAGGGCAGGATCCGTTTGTGCGTGCTGACGTTTGTGGAACCGATCTGGGCAGGTCTCCGCCAGCAGGTCATCCACCGTCTGTCGCTGGAACTCCTTTGTTGTGAACGACTATGACTAGTCAAACTGGAAAAAAAGACGTTCACCGGACCCAGCAACGTTCCTCGGGCATAATAATTGCACCTTGTGCGAACAGCCGACGATGATGAATGAAAAAAGCGGAGGAAGATGAGTGGACGGCATTTAAATGCGTAGATCATTCTGCTTTCCTCGCATTCTGAATATCCCGGCCCATTATTATTATTTTACGAGCTGAAGTCGGGCTTCCGAATTCGGAAAAGGCCTGGCAATAGTTTTGGAGCAATCTGATTAGGGTCCACGCTGGAAACCTTTTTCGGAGGAAATGTCAATGGGAGGCTACTGGACTTTTCACTGACAAACGTATCTTCGCTTTCTATCGGTTCTTTGGTTAGGATAATCAGGCGTATCTCATCGGAAATTTATCCCTTTCGCGTTAACAGGTCTCTCTGCGAGTCATGGATATTATCTCTTCTATCGGCAATTTAGATACGCGAAAGAAAATTTTGCGAGTTTCGCGGCAGCAGAGATAACGATTCTTCAACACAAAGCATTAATGCTTGCGATAAAGTCGATTAGCGAAGACATTAATAAAAGCTTAACGATCCTGTTGCCTCTGGTTAAATAAATTTCAAGCGCACTTTCATGCATCGTGAACGTTATACGGTTCTTTTTCTTCTCCCTTTTTTCTTCAAGAACACTATTGACAATGAATCTTGAATAAGAGATCTTTTTTATCTTTTTACGTTAAATTTTAATATTTTTTCCATTATATATTAGTTTACATTATCCATTTATCTTGCTTCACCTTTATTTCACATAGACATCGTCAAGATAATGAAATACCGAAACATTTACAGTGCTGCCATCCAGTTATCGAATCAAAAAAAGTGAAAAAAGGTAACTTTTAATATTAAAATAATAACCAAAATAGTAATTAAATGTGATTTTTGTATAAAATTTACAGACTAATTAAAGCTATTAAACAACAACAAAAAATATAGATCTATGTTTGGACAGCCTAATATACAATAAATTATTTTCACGACAGTTTGAAAATTTATAACAGAAAAAAGGAAAAAATAGGAGTTCGAATAATAATATTTCTATATTTTATTTAATCAAATAATGCTAA